AAAATATTCATATCAGATATAGTACTGCAAATAAGATTTTATTGCTATTAAAGGAATGACTTTTGTTAACCGATACATTAAAAAGAAGCAAAAATACTAATCCACAAACATAAATATGAAGAAGTTGATGGGTCTCAAGTTCGAATTCCTATGGTACCTACGTAGTGTGCGTATGTGTGTGTGCGCGTGTGAAACTTCCATAAGTTTTGTAGTTTAGACTATCGCTTGTACTAAAAAAACATAAATACAAGGAAATATAACATCACAATTGAGAAGAGAATAGTGAGAAGAAACTGTTGACCCCTGAAAAGTTTAAAAAACAAATTAATATATATATAAGATCGAAGAAAGTACCTATGACGCCTCAAAAGTAATAGATCTTCATTAAGGCGGTCCAGTAAATGCCTTCTTTCATGACGCCAAAGAGAACCAAGCATCAACGCTGGAAAACCAATCAATGCTGATAGAAAAAGAAGCGCAGCGTCCATGATTTTGTTTACAGGAGGGTATAGCTTTTGTGCATTCAAAGTGAGAGAAGAACAAGTGCAAGGTTTCCACGCACAAGTATGTATAACACATATATATATGGCTATAGTTATAGGCTTGATTATATTTATAAAATACCTGGAATGCATTCTTTTTATTTTGTTTACTTCACTTGCAAGAAAACAAGATTTTCTTGATAGGAAAGAAAAGATAATTTTAAACTTACCATTACAAAGCACCCTCACTAGCCATTATACCCTTTTATTTCTTTCCAGTTTTGCAACTAGGTTGTCCATCGCATCGCATCCATATCTTTTGCCTAATTAACCTAATTACAAGTACCAAAAAAGGAAAAAGAAGGAATATAAATATAGAGGCTGTGAATATTTCCTTTGATACTTGATAGTGATACGTACAGAGGTTATATATTTGGATCTGGATCCCCTCTACTCTGATTTTCTCTGCCATGATCTGCTTTACTTATGTTCTCCATACGCCACCTCATTAAAATTTAATCTAAGAGACATAAAATTGACACATTATCCTTCAAACAAAAACCCAATTTACTCCTAATTAAAAAAGAAAAAAAAAACCTTAATCCAACTAACTGCAAAATTACGTCCTTTTTTTTTTTCTTCTTCGCCCTCCACGTCCTGTCCTTTTTTTTTTCCCTTTCTTCGACTGTGCCCCAAAATCTCATCTCTCACCAACGTCACAAAACATATTAACAATTATCAAATATTGAACTTCTTGGCTTTACCCAGAAATGAAAAACAAGAATTTATTCTTCTTTTTCTTGTTTCTCAGGAAGCTTTCTAAACATATTGGATTTTTATGGTTAAAAATGAATAAATGTGTCAACTATCTGAAAAATTACAGAAGGCGTTAGATTTGGAAGCCTCATCACAAATTTGGCTGCTGGAATTCGGTGAAGGCTGCAACTTCACCATAAAGCCCAGGAACGCAAAAATCCCACCACCTACAATAATAGTAATACAAATGTACAAAACACACTCTCTCTTGAAACATGATTTTTCTTTTGATAGGGGAAAAAGAAGGGATTGTGATGCAGAGGTTTTGGAGAAAGGAAAGCTTGGTGTGAGAGATAAGATTTTGGGGCAGAGACATAAAGAAGGGGAAAAAAAATTAAGAACAGGACGTGAGACAGGGATTGAATAAAAAAAAAAGATGTGAGACAGGAAGAAGGAAGAGAAGAAAGAGGACATGATGTTAACTTTCCCGTTAGTTGGATTAGGGGTTTTTTTTTTTCCTTTTTTAATTAGGAGTAAATTGGGTTTTTGTTTGAAGGATGATGTGTCCATTTTTAAGTCCCTTAGATTAAATCTTAATGAGGTGGCGTATGGAGAATAAAAGTAAAGCAGATCATGGCAGAGAAAATCAGAACAGAGGATCCGGATCCTATATATTTATACAATAAGTAATTGTAATTGACTCATAAATCAACCTAATTTATATATGGGAAAGTGAATATATGCCCGAGATATGCCCTTTTGCTTTATTTGAAGGAAAAGACAAATAATTTTTATTTATTTATTTGTCGCACGTATATATAGCTTATAAATGAGTTCATCTTGTGCTCCCTACACCCTCACAGATACTTTTGCTACTCAGAGTACTTGTTTAAATCTTCTTAATTTTCTTTGTCTACCCAAAAAGAATCGACCCAACTTTAAATTTTTCCTAATCTAAATTAATGGCAAGGAAAGATATTTCAAATCTGGTGTTGGGAATGATGGGAGCTGCCTTCTTTGAGTTTATATGTAATTATATCTCTACATATAGAGAAACAGTTTCGGTACTTAGAGAGATTGATGAAAAGATGGAAGAGATTCGGAATACATGGAGGTCAGTACGTAGTTTCATCTTTAAATTAGTATTCTATTTTTTTTTTTTAAACCTTGATCTTGGCTTTGATGCTTTAAGTTTGCTGAGGAAAACCTCAAAGATTAATATTCCAATTTGAATTCCCAAGCAATTGGATTAATTATAAATTTTGCTCCAACATTATTATATTTTCCTTGCCTTGTATGTGTTAATAGCCATGAAGAATTTAGAAAGCTTGTTGGTCAGGACATGTACGGCTTCTTCAAAGACTATGACAAGTGGACGAACTATTTCGACTTCTTCTAGTATCTCAAATACTGGTTAATTAGCTTGTTTGGCATCAAGTGTTTGGAGGCTTATTCTTCTAGTACGACTAAAGCTGCGAATTCATCTTATTATTTCATTTTCCATCAAGTGTTAATCAGTGGAGTGGTATTGTAGTTATGATATATTTGGAGGCTTATTGTTTCTGGATAGCGGTATTATGTTCAACTCACATAGATGACGAGAACGATATATCTTTTTGACGAGTTTGATGTACCTAATTGTGGGTTGGTCAGTTATTAAACTCAACCCCAAATTTTTGTCCCAACAACTTTCCGTTCGGCCCAATTAAAAAGTTTATAACACAAGAAAGAAATTCGCCTATGACTCGCGAAACATCAAATTGAATTCAATAGTGGGAGATTACTTTTCTTTTTTTTCTTTTTTTTAAATGAGAGGAGAAATAAGACTAGAAGATTTAAATCCCATGAATTGGAGGATGGGGCATTAAAAATAGTACCTGCTGAATTTTATTTTCGATTAGGCTATTCCTCAAATTAATTGATTTTAAATTATTATTATTATTGAATTTAAGGGGTTGACAAAATTAATAATTGTTGGGTAGGACATGTAGAAAACTTAAAATTAAAATGGGAGTTTCACTAATATACCCAAAATGGGTGCTGAAATTATAAAAAAACCCCATATGGAAAACACTTTATAAACACACCCAAAATCCATTTATTAAATAACAAATAAGTGTTGAAGTTCCAATAAATTACAAGCACTGCCACTATCAAGCCCAACAGAAAAAAAAAAAACTCAAAAAGCACCCAAAACAACCCCAGCCCAAACTTATAAAAGAACCCAAAGATTTTACCATCTCCAAAACCATAATTTCGTTCAAAAAAATGGAAAACAAAAACGTAACTTCCAGCCTGCGACTTTAATTAACCATCTCTGCCAAACGTCCCTTCAGTCAACGTCTTCATCAAAGTGTCTTCTTCATCTCTCGAAACCAAAACTCCATAACCACCACCAAGCTTGATCTACTTTCAAAAACAAACACCACACACTGACCTCCACCTACAAAACCAAGACAAAATTTCAGAGAACAATTTCAACAAGAAAACGCTTCAAAGGAAAGACATTTACAAACCAAACCTACACTGTAATTTTGATTAATTGCTATAGAGTTCCCGTCTAGGGTAATAACAGCATTTTAGATTCGAATCAAAGACAAAATCTTGAAACTATATGGGATTTCACTATTGCACTGACTGCTTACTATCATTATTTTAGTCGCTAGTTCACTGAAATTTCTAATTAATGGCTGTAAAGTTCCAATACAGGGTATTAACACTGATTGTTTCCTCTGAAATCCTATTTCTGAATAATGTCTACCACTGTAAAGTTCCAGTATAGGGTATTAATACTGCTTGTTTCCTATGAAATCCTATTTGTAATGCATGTCTACCACTATATAGTTCCAGTATGTGGTAATAACACTGGTAGACATGCATTACAAATACAATTTCATAGCAAACAAACAGTGTTATTACCCTATACTGGAACTTTACAGTGGTAGATAGACGTGCATTAGAAATAGGATTTCATAGCAAACAAGCAGTGTTATTACCCTAGACTGGAACTTAACAGTGGTAGACGTGCATTAGAAATAGGATTTCATAGCAAACAAGCAGTGTTAATACCCTATACTGGAACTTTACAGTGGTAGATAGACGTGCATTAGAAATAAGATTTCATAGCAAACAAGCAATGTTATTACCATATACTGGAACTTTGCAGTGGTAGACATGCATTAGAAATAGGATTTCATAGCAAACAAGCAGTGTTATTACCCTAGACTGGAACTTAACAGTGGTAGACGTGCATTAGAAATAGGATTTCATAGCAAACAAGCAGTGTTATTACCATATACTGGAACTTTACAGTGGTAGACATGCATTAGAAATAGGATTTCATAGCCAACAAGCAGTGTTATTACCCTATACTGGAACTTTACAGTGGTAGACATGCATTAGAAATAGGATTTCATTGCAAACAAACAGTGTTATTACCCTATACTGGAACTTTACAGTGATAAAGTTCCAGTATAGGGTAATAACACTGTGAGATCACCATGAAATCACCATACAAACTAAGTCGTTGAATTTAAAACGTTCATAAGCCAAACACAAACAGAAAACAAGCCAAACACAAACAGAAAACACAACGATTCATACAATAAACACTAGAAAAATACTGAAATGAGAAATCATCATAAGAATAAACTGTGAAAATACGTACATCAGATGCGTTACTGATGAGCTCACGGAGAAAGATCTCCTTGTTGCTGTAATAGGTGTTGATGATCAAACTCAGAAACTGGTTGATCTCATGGATCAGGACCCGAGTTCACCTCCTGAGTTGTAAAACAACGTTGCCGAGGTCGGCGTATCCAGCTCTTCAAAGAAGAGCTTCTTCAATGGCGACCGCAGAGAGGAAGACGAAGCGGCAGCCCCTTTGGATATGGAAGTATCGTTGTAGTCGGCATCCGCGAATAGGAGATCCTGGTTGCAAATCGGGAACACTGGACGGATCTGGCCATTTTGGAATATATTGTCGGTGGAAATTGGCGATCCTTCGGGATTGGTGCAGGTGAAAGAGAAATTGTCTTCATCTTCGTTCTTCTCGCAATCACCACCGGCATCGGCGTTCTGAAAGCCTTCGTCCGGCAATTGACACCTCAAATCCGCGAGCTTAACCATTAGCTATGTTCATATCGAAAAAAATGGAAATTAGCACCAAATTCAACGAAGAAACTGAAATCGAGTCAAAATTCAAGTAAACTAAGCAAAAATCAAAAGGAAAATAACGAATTGAAACAGATGGAACAAACCTGGAAAGGAAATGGAGACATCGGCGGCGAGAACATGTGTGAGGCCATCGACGTAACGGAGATTGTCGTCGGTCTTGTGTTGGTCCATGGCTCTGAGACTGTTTGGTTTACTTTGAAGGCAGAGAGAGAGGGAAGAAGAGAGATAACAGAGGAGAGATGAGGGTTTGAAGGAGGAGAGGGGCTTGAGGCTTCAAACCTGAAGGAGTGGTTTTGTTGAATTTTAACGTTCTCGGCATTCTATATATTCTAAACGAGATCCAAAACTAATTTAATGCTAAAAAGGGTAATAAAGGTATTTCATCTTATTAATTAAATTAAAAAATATACAATTGTTGATTTTTGGGTTTATTTTGGGTATGTTTATAAAGATTAAATGGTATAGGGTATATTTATAGTTTTATGTCTAGGAATGGGTATTTCACTAAATTTCTAAATTAAAATCGGGGAAAAAAAAGGGCAATGGTTATTGTGAGAGAGTAGTGTGTTAGATAAATGATGTAGGTAATATGTCATTAATTCACAAAATATGGGGAAAAGTTTTTATTTATTTTAAATTTGTTAAAGAAAAGATAACCGATGGTATTATTGCAGTCCCGTTCTCTTGAACCCCAGTAGTCCGAGAAAACTGTGGTCAACCACCCTTAAATAATGTTGAGAAAGAAAAAAAAAACTGATTTAAAAATTATAATCGTATCATCAAAACACTATTTTGATTATTAAAAATAAGTTTTCTAAAAAACCAAACAACCACCACCATTCAAATGGGTAAGGGCTAGTTTGGCGTTGTTGTGCTTTTAAAAAAACTGCTTCTGCTGTGCTACGAAAATAATCAGCTGTGAAAAAAAGCTAATAGGCGTTTAGTAAACTGTTTTTGAAAAGTTGTTGTGAGTAGTCAAAGTCAGTGGCGGAGCCAGGAATTTTACCAAGAAGGGTCAACTTTAAATAGCTTTATAATTGCAATGAACTTAGTTTTTATAGAAAAATATATGTAAGAATTCATTATAATGATTAAATCTCAATATCACAAATTTAATATCTTAGTAAGTATAACCCAAATTCTAGCAACCTAAAAATAATGAAAGAGTATCAAAAGTTGATTTTAGATAGAATGAGAAAATCAAACAAAATCTATGACACACACATATAAATGACATATGAAGACATGAAAAAAAATAGAGATCATATTCATGTTCATTGTAGACAATTTACATTTGTGAGAAGGGTCAATAATAAGTATAGCTATAAAACAATTTGGATAACATAGATAAATATAATATCTTCAAAATGTTGAGAAGGGTCAAGTGACCCTTGTGGGCCTTAATTGGCTCCGCCAATGGTCAAAGTGTTTAGTAAATTTTTATCATAAGTGCTTTTAGTGCGTACAATGACCAAAAAGGACATGATAATAAAATTGTTTGTTATGTTCTTCATTCACAAGTTTAATGAATGCGTCTAATTATCTTTTTTTATATTGTAGTGATCTATTGGGGCATTTTAAAATTGAACAATTTTTTGTATATTTGTTATGTCCGAAGCCCTCAAAAGACATTGTTATTATTAATATAACAATATTTAGAACTATTTTTGTTACAATAGTAATTTATAATTTATGGTAAAATATGTATGCTAATTGTAGATTAAATTTTTTGATAAAAAAGTGTGAATTAAAAAAAGAAAAAAATTTATGTAGTAAAGTTGGTTTTTCTCAATGCATTCATTAGCTTCATTTTTTGGTTTCCATTGGTTCTCTAAAAAGATTTTAACTGAAAAAATAATGCTTTGTGAACAATAAATTCAAGTCCAAATATGCTATTGCCCACACCATACATATATATACTCAAAAATTGTTTCTTTCATAAAACTTGAAGAATCAATAGTAATTACACAGTTTACCAATCTTGATTCCAACTATATCCATACAAAATACCATATCCATAAAATTAAACTATAATTAGAAATAGAGGAGCTACATGTGATTGCTCATAAATGCTGCACATTCTCATCATCATCATCATCATCATCTTCTTCTTCTTCTTCTGTTCTTTGCCTTTCACAAATGGACAATACCAGGTGGTAGCGTACACGACATGGTCCACATATAGATAAATTTTGGGTTCACTGGAGAACATAAAAGAATTTTTACACGAATACAAAGTTAGTTAAGTAGTGAATGAAGTAAAACTATTCTGTACAATTATAGCTGATGCAGTCCAAAAAGAATATATGTCTAATAACTTAAATAACAATAAAGAGAAACAAAAACCTCATGAAAAATGCTAGAGTATAAGTTACATAACTGAATCGATGGATAGAGAACTCCACAGGCAGAGAAACAGCAACAAAAATTGTCACAACAGTAGCAAGACCATGTTGGAGTCAAGGCCAAAGATCATATTTCCTGTGTATCTTCTTCCATTCTGAATTATTCTCGTATTCAAATACTGTAACTCTATTTCAAGTGCACCGCAAAATATTTGTCTAAGGCCAGTACATAGGACTTCAAAAAGGGTGCGATAAAAAATATTACCCCTTAATTGATAAACAGAACCAAGAGCCCAACAGCACACCAAAACTATACCAACCACTCCTACATAATATGGACAGAAAATCCTGCTGTTCTGATCTCTAACCACACCAATGACATTCTTTTGGAAAATACAAAAGATGGGTACCCTGCATTTCTAACATTTAAGCTAAAATTCACTACCAACTAATCACAAATTTGAAAAGATGGCAAGAAAATTGGCTAAACAAATGTTCACAGCAGACTGAGCAAATTTGTGTCTCTATTAAGTAATATCATGCATTAATTAATATTAATATAACGTTAATGATCTCCTTAGTTAAAGCACCTCATCATTTATAACTTAAACTAATACATTGAAAGAAACCAAAAAGATCTTTAAAAACATTGCACTTGGCACTTCAAAAAGATCCAAGTGAAATTTTCCTATTTAGGTTTAGCCGTTTATTTATTCTCTTTGATAGAGTTTGTTTCAGAGAAACAAGCAGAGATTACTTATCTACTGTAAACATGAGCATTAAAAGAACTATTTGCAAGTACCCAATACTTGAACAGTTTATATTTTTCACAAGTATTCTGAAGAATATCATACCAACACCTTCTATATGTTTAAAAATGATGATGGTGTTGTGCGCAGCGGAAGCGGATTGCACATGAACGGTGGATATGAAAACCGTTGAAACAACAAGAGCAAAATATGAAATACAGAAATCCAAACGACACAAGGATTTATACTGGTTCGGCCCGTGTAGCCTACATCCAGTTCAAAGACAGCGAGAAATTCCACTAGTATCCCAAAAGAGATTACAACCAAAGGAGATTAACCCTCTCACCTATCCTAGGAATTATAGAGTTTAACTCTCACAACCCAAATCCCAAATACACCCAAGTCACTCTCAAGCTAACCACACACAAGAGCCAAGAACACAGGATTGTTCTTGCTCACTAGGAAAGAACTCACTAAGAACAATACAAAGAAATAAACCTCCCACAAACACAAGGAACAAATGAAGAAGACTCAACCTTTGAAATGGCTTGATCTTCCTTCAACATCTCGTGTAGCCAAAGAGGAGTTTATCTCCACCATCATGGTGATGCTCTCTAGTATTTCTCTCTGTGTGGAAGTGTCCCTCACTTCTGTTTTAGCCTCTCTGAGAAATGGTGCTCACGGCACCCAAATGGTGCGGCACACTGCCCACACACATGCATACTCATTTCCGCACCCTCCATCTCCTTTTATGAACCCATGCAGCAACTCCAAAAGCCAGCCAGCCAATGCCAACCCACGTGAAGAGGAAAAAGAAGCCAAACCATGTGCTGGAAGTCATCATTATTAGTGACATAAAACACCCACTTGGAATAAACAAAGAGAAAGAAACCAATTCTTTCTCAAAGTGGACAGCTCCAACGGACAAATAAAGGAACCCAAAATGTCACCAACCAATTAGACTCCCCCACAAAATAATGTCCAAAACTATACATTATTTATGCACCATGATTTTCTCCACTTTTCCATCTTGCTTTCGGCTGCCTAATTAATAGAAGTGCAAAAGCACTCCACCAAAACTCCATCACGTGAAACTCACAACATTAAGGTAGGTGCCCATAACAAAACACATCACAAGCAAATTTGAGCCAATTTCAACATCACAGTCACAAACATGGGGCTGTTCATCCTTACCCAAGGTCAGTGCATGGCTTAGTGGATTTCATCTTATCTTCTTAATTCAATTGGCTGTCTTGCTTTCGGCTACCTAAATAGAAGTGCAAAAGCACTCCTCCAAAACTCCATCACGTGAAGCCCACAACTTTAAGGTAGGTGCCCATAACAAAACACATCACATGCCATCAAATTTGAGCCAATTTCAACAGATGGCTCCCAAGAAAACTTCCTTAAACCCACTTCTCAATCTCAACAAGGGACAAAGAGTCCAAGCATGGAGTTTTCCTAATGACTCATGAAAGAAAACCAAGAACAAGAAGAATCCACACATGAAAATAAATTGATCACCTTGACAATTGACATAAGAACAAGAACTATATAATTTTTCTAATCTTTAATATATATTACTTGAGGAACTAGCTAGCCTATTCTGCCAAGAGGAGACAAAGATGACATATAGTCTTAGCCAATATTTCCAGCTTACTAGGGAACAGTGTTATTGAATCTCTCAAGTCTGTGTGGTGGATAAAATGTTTTGTTTCTGTCATATGTTCTAAGGCAAGATGATATTGCATTCCCATAATTTACTGAGAATGCAATTTCATACCAATTTACAAATTCCTGATATTTCAACCATATGTCAGTTTATGAGTTCCCCACCACAATTACCAGCATGCTACAATCACTTTTGATAAAGCCCACCAACACAAAAAATATAAATAAAAGGAAGAACTTGAAACCATGACCCAATCAAAAATCCTCTAACACATTAATAAGTCCACCGACACTAAAAAAATAATAATAAGGAAGAACTTGAAACTATGACCACTAAAAAATAAAAGCTTTATTTACCAAAAATCTTCCAACACAATAATGGACGACAACTTAGATGGAACATCAGTTTCAAAGAACATGATCTTTTTCTTTTTTTTC